CCTCGCCAAATTGGCTTAGCAGAAAACATGTTGATCTTAAAGTTATTTATTCGAACGAGTTTACTTTGGCCGTTGTCGTCGCGTCGCCGTCACCTATTTGCTAAAGGTCCCTAAATTGTTTTAATTAAAATTGTTTTAATTCCCTGCACTATGTTCATTCTATATACCACCCGTATCACCAATTCTCAACTCGGTATTATACCACAAATTTCAGTCTCAATTGAGAACTGTTGGTATTACCGAGGCTGGATGATAATCCCCACCATCTAACTTAAATAGTGTTTTTGACCCTCACCCCAGGTTAGGGTTATGGTTGGTGTGCGGTGTGTGTGTGTGTATGGTTTCTTTAAGAGGTAGTGGTCATAATGTGGTACGGGATATGTATAACAGTCGTTATTTGCATAACTCCTATAAGATATTATTTCCCATATTTGGAATATTATTAAGTATATTATATTATTTCTATAAGTATATTATTTCCCATATCTGCCAAGTCATCTACCTCGTTATCTAAATTTAGAAACCAGATTTACCAATCTGATTTACTTGACTGTCAATGTTATGCATGCATTTACTGTTAGTATATAGATTATTAATACTATGTAAATATTTTATTTATTTCGTAAATAGGTATTATTGTCGATCACTTCTATCACGAGTCCCTGGCTCGAGTGATTGGGCAACCACACTCTGTGTCTTTAGACATTAAACAGAGTTGCAAAACCTGTTCAAATTTCCTCCGGGTAAAATTTTAAGTTTTCAGACCTTCCTCAAAATAAATTGAATAAATACTAAAATATGGCTTCATCAAATAACAATATACTAGACTATATAAACTTAACTGATTCTGAAAGCATAAAGTTGGAAAGAGACGTTTCGTTAAACGCAGTACATCATTTAACAAATATAAAACATTTTCCGTGTTGATATACAGCTATATCAACACGAGTGGAATTGGGAAAACGAGAAATTGTATGGAAACACGACGCCCGAAGGGCGGAGTGCTTTCATACAATTTCGAGTTTTCCCAACTTCCGCGAGTGTTGATATAACTATATATCAATACGGAAAAAATGTTTTATATTTTTTTTTATAATATAACAATGTCAAAAGCCTGAAGGATAAGCAAAATTTCCGTGTTTACAAGCGGCTAAAATTTCCCGTGTTGACATTGAGTTATATCAACACGGCTCTTAGCCAATCAGCGTTCAGAATTTACAAATGCTATATTATAATCTAATATATAATTTGCCGTAATAGATTTATACTTTGGACAAATTGGACAATCCTTACCTACTACGCGTCTACACCCTATATGACACCGCTGAATATAAAAGAATATAAAAAATACAGTCATGGACTCAAGAGTCAAGATAATCTTTAAAATGTGTTGGTTTCTGAATCCGTGTAATAAAAAGCACGGCGGAACACGCGTAAAAATTGAGAAAATCAACAACTTGTTCCGGGTTGATACTGACAGGCGTAAACAAGGTTGTGCTGCCCACCATGAACAAGTTGTCAACACAACTTGCAACAACATTGTTGACAACTTGATCATAGTGGGCAACACAATATGTTTTATACCTGTACACATATTATATAGAGGTCAACAGTAAAACCATGGCAACAACATTCCAGAGGTTGTATTTGATGCTTCTGTACTTGTGGTTTTGAAAGGCATTTGAGAGTGTTTAGGTCTTTAGATGTGTGAGACCCAATCACCCAGTTTCACAATCAACGAAGCAGCGAATGCTCTCACTTGTTTCCGAAGCAAAGTGCAAATTTAAACCTACAGCCTAGTGCCCTGCATGGCGGTTTATAACCAATAGCAATGTTTGGAATGGTTGAAAATCAATGGCAATGGCAATGGCAATATAATCTCTATAACAGATGCTGCCAATCCTGCCATACACTTATGGTTATCTTATAGTTTGTGGGAATTGACGGTGTAGGTATCAGGTATGTAAACAATGATTTCGATTATACTCGATCTGTATTAAATATGTATGACAGCTACAAACCTCGGTAACCAAGCTGCATTATTTTCGTCAAACTCGCATCACACATGCTAAGCCTAATTTCTGTGGCAGTTTACAACATTTCACCCTGGCGATATTTATATAATTATTACAACGTTTAGTTGCTACAGCAATGATGGTTCATTTCATTTATAACCATTAATTATTCTCTAAAAATATTGGAATCACGTAATCAAATAATCTCTGAATAATATAATAATGTTCAATGCGAGTTTCTTATTGTAACCATGATGACTAGTTCTTAGTAATAGCCTCCTGTTATTTGCGGTGCAATGGTTTGAGGCGCCTCTGATGCTTGACACTTATACATTTTAATTTTACAGAATATTTTCAGTCATTGTCTTCTCAGTATTCTCCAATGTCATAGTCATATGTTATAGGTACTATTTACTTAACTGCCTATTCAACTATGATTTATTTGTTTTACTTTTTCGGTATTAGCGACTATTGACCACTATAAAACCTTCCTCACTGACCTCGCCTATAATAAACCTTCCTCGCGGGTGATGCCAGTGTGCCCGCAGTTTTTTTTCAACTCTGACATTAAATAAATTATTCCATTCCGTTAATTCCATTCCATTCTATACATTTTACGAAATTCGATTGAGTTATCTTGGTAAGATCGTTATTTTGGGGGAGTATTTAAAAGTATGAAAGAAAAAAAAGAATTCCTTTTAAGCAGTTTTTGCTGTCTTCTTAATACTTTTCCCATGTAGTAATTAGTAACAACATTAAAGTTTAAACAAGAAAATTTGAAATGCGACTAAAAAATTACATTTTGTAAAATTCCGTAATCAAATGGCATCTGAAAATAATGGCTTCTATCAAATTTTCTCTTAATATGCAGTTATCACTCGCTCTAAACACGCAAATTCTGAAAATTATTACTGAGATCGTTTTGTTAATTTTAATACATCCGATTTTATCGGATAAATAAAACATAAATATCCTTCTTGTGTGGCAGACAAAAGACCTTAAGAACCTTACCATTTCAACTTGCTCATCGTCTTTGTCAGTTTCATCACTTTCGTCTTCACTAGAATCTTCAACTTGCTCATCGTCTTCGTCAATTTCATCACTTTCGTCTTCACCAAAATCTTCAACTTGCTCATCGTCTTCGTCAATTTCATCACCTCTGCCTGGACCAGAATCTTCAACTTGCTCATCGTGTTCGTCAGTTTCATCATCACTTTCGTCTTCACTAGAATCTTCAGGACTGACATCTCCGACATTACTTTCATCTCCAATAACTCTGATGATTAATTTAGAGTTGGAATAAAACCATGTAATAACTCTCATCGCTCTTTCGACGTCCCTCAAGCTGACGAAGCTGCATTCATTCTGAAAAATGAAAGAGTTAAAGCAATTTCCAAAGATTTAATTTAACAAGGTGTGTGAAACTTTGAAAGTTACCTCTTAATTTGTTTGTAATTTTCATCGGATTTAAGAACAGGCATGAATGTAAAAGAGAAAAATTTAGAAAAACTTGCATCACCTCAACTTCCATTCATGCACACAATTTAAAATTATCCCTTTTTGTTATAAAGTTAGATTTTTTTGCATATTTTGTTTAATTATAATTTGACATAAATTGTAAGTGGTCAATACGCTGAAATTCTGTTCTAGATATAAATAGTCACGTCTGTAGTTGTGAAAACACTATGCATATATATATTTGGAAAAGCTTTCGATCCGTAATCCTGGATCATTATCTGTGCAAAGTAGTCATACACGATTGTTACAGTATGCCGTTCCAACCTAAAATATATAGGAACGAATTCTATGTGGTCGACCATTCATCCTCATGAATTTGGTCGACTGTTAGATATAATATCAGTCGTACGTTGCAATAATATGGAAATAAAATTGGTGGGAATCGAGAATTAGATCTTAATTTTAAAATATGCAAACAAATATAGGAGGCATGCATACAGTTCTCAAGTTATGCGTTGTTTATATATCGCCATGCATGTGGATGAATTTTACAATGACTTTTCTTTTTGCAATTCAAATTTCATGCAACAGGGCCAAAATTTCCTGGTACTTCATACCCATAAGGATTGGTTGTATCCACTTCTAAGATACAACATGAAATATTCTAAAAGTTATATACGTGCAAAAATGTGAATTTGGCGAAACCAGCCTTGTTCGTTGGTATGTAAAACAAATGATACCGCTATGTGCATGCAGAAGCTAATAAATCTGCAGGTGCATGGCTGCAGATTCGTTAAATTTGAAGCTTCCATGGTCGATTGTGTATAATTGATCAGTTAAACACTTGCATGCAATGGCTTTAATTATTTTATATACTAGAAAATATACATGCATGCAGTAACCTCCGCGCCCTTTTGATTTACCAATCAATTATGCTTCCTAAACATTTTTCCACGTAAAGTAAATACTATGTCAATTTGCCACAGCTGAGTGTCAAGGTGTATTGTATTTTGTTATAAAAGATTGCATTTTGTTATAAAGTTTTTTGTACAAACCTGACAGAAATATTTATGAATAGTTCTATTTTCGGAAATATCTTCGACGCTTCGTAAAACGTTTTGAAATGTCCATTAAACAGTACTGCTATTTGCCGAATTGCCGAGATACTGTTCAACTTAATAATCTTTAAAATAAACTCAATTTAACTGATACAGTTCGCTCTTCAAAATGACTTGCTCTCCTTTTCATCTCAGGGCTTTTTTAGCACAGAATATGTAATTTATAAAGTTGGACCTAGGCTGAAATGGAAAACGTTGTTTTTTTATAGGCAAAGCGATTTTAAAGCAGCAATATGAAAACAATCAAAACAAACTCACCGTTTGTTTTACTAATTGTCATTATAAATAAATTCTACTCAATTCTTCAGAGCAAAATTGAAATAAATGCTTCACAGCTCATTGCAAAAAAGTCAGTCCTCTGTCTCCTGTATACATCATGGCCAGAGATCACGAACATGATTTATTCGACTTCCTTCGTGATTTGCATATCATGTTGAAACATGGCTTATATTTTATAACGTGACGTTGGTTTGCAACTTGCCTCAACCGCTGGCTGCAAAACAAAGTCTATCGAAGCATTTTGTGTAATGTTGGCCTGATTTCAGTTACTGCCTAATGCAAAGCATTTTCAATATTTGAACAAAGGTTAATTTTTGCAACATTTGTCTATTTAACTCCATAATTATAAGAAAACCGCATTACTGCCGCTAGAAAGAAACGAAAATGCTGAATAAGCAGTAGCTTACACCAGGCAAACATTACACTAAATATTTCTACAAACTATGTTCTGCAACTAGCAATTGAGACAAATTTTGCGGTTTACGGCATCGCGTATTATAATTTGCTGTTTACTGCAGAAGCCATATTTCAAGAACACCGCGGCCAAACGTAAAACGAATCCGCAAGTATATACGGAAATGGCGGGAAAAATGTCTGCCAAAATAATGGGGGTAAATACGGGGAAAGAAAAGCGTTTACTAAGGACATGGCTGAAGCTACTGTATAAGATGGGAATTTAACCGCTTTTTCCTTGAGTTAAAGGGATATGGCAG